AAACCTGAGAGTAAAATGGAATTAGAAAAAAAAGCACTAACACAAAACAAATCAAATAACCAACACAAGCGTCCAAGCACTCCCTGAGCTTCTGTGGTCAGGGAGTTGGTTAGTATGGTCTTTGAGAAAGCAGCCTGGTGCCCGGTAGAAGAATCGGATCTCTGTGAGGATATCAATAAGGAAATGATATTCCTCTACAAGAGAAGATTATTGGCTGTCTCTCACCCCTATTGTGTGCATAAAATGCCGAGCTCAGCTCAAAGAGAGAGAAGCTCTTGAACTGATCACACATAATAATGGCAAATCATTTGTAGAGAAAAGTGGAGGTTGCAATGCCCCACAGAAAGCATGTGATGAAGACTCAAATTTGAAACTAAAACTGAGAGCTATAGGAAAAGAACCTCAAAGTCCTAAAGGGAACAACTTTCTTAGTAGAGAGGGTTTGGGGCAAATTCACACAAAAAAACATAGATTGCTGGTCTTCTGTAGAACAAGTGGCAACCATAGGGTACAGAAAACAATTTTTTTTTTCTGAGTCATAATGGAAAAGTGTTCTCACCATTTTTTAAAACAAGGGGGAATAGGAGGAACTTAATATCAGATTTCACTGTGTATTGTGTATCGATACAGAATATGCCGTGACAGAGACTTGGCCGCCTTCCCAAGGCGCCTCTAATTTCAGCTGTCTTCATTTTTTTTACCCCAACAGGTTATAGTAACTATGCCTTGTCATGCAGCTTACGATGGGGCACTTAGATGCAGCAGTTTCCGTCTGAGAAGCAAAAACAAAAAACATGCCGCTAGAGCTTTGCGAGGCACGCAGCGGAATTGCTGGATGTTAATCGCTAGGGCTCGCTCCGATTTACCCCACAACGCTGCAGGGGCAGCTCGGCACCAGACCCAAACTCTCCCCGTGTGCATCTCCAGTTTCTCAATGAAGAGCCTTTTCAAGTCTGGCCCATCCTTCTTTTTGAGGCCCACACTTCTTTATAAACCATGGCTGAGACCATATTACCCTCCATTCGAAAGTCTTCAGAAGCTCCCATTTGCCTGTTAACTCTGGCTTTTCAAAGTCATGCCCACCAGGCCCACTGTGAATTTCCAAGTACTCATCCGATACAGTCAGCCCCTACTCTGATCTGAATTATACTATTCTGGCTTTCCATATGTCTTTCCTTTTCCTTCAGGCATTTCTCTTGGCTGGCATTGTAACTCACCCGTCCTCATGTCCGCCTGGCCCAAATGTCATCTAGGAGGGGTCAAGAGCCTCACAGAGCTACAACCAAAGCCAACTGCTCCTTCTCCAAAAACCTACCTTTACGTGCATTTTTCACGTGAGGCCTGTGACTAATTTCCTTTGCGTTTAGTGATTTATAGACGAATATAAGTAATTCTGATAACTCCTTCAACATTAAGAATTTGGGAAACAACCAGGTCCAGGAATATTGGCAGTAACGCATGGCTTTCCAGGCTCACACCTTCCTGGAGGAAATCGTGTTGGCTTGGTCAGTCGCCGAAGGTTGTCATAGCTGGAAGTAGGGGTGTGATGTTACATTTTGATATGTAACGTGGTTGATATAGAATGGAAGTAACCATATTTGTCCTCTTGTTTTAAGATGCTCTAGTGTAATTTTTTAAACATATATGTTCTTCATCACCTTAGTCTTTTGATGTAGTCTTTGACAAATGGATAACAGGTTCAATTAAGTTTGAGAAACTGTGCATATTACGTCTCCCTCCTGGAAATTTATGATATAAAGTGATAGATTAATGGCTTGGAGAAATTAGAAGGCTTTTAAAAAGATTGCTTAACCTTCATTAATTATGCCTCCCAATAATTATTGTCCGTGGTCTTTTTCATATGCGAACTGTACATATCCCAAGAAAGGAGTCTTCCATAGATATACTTGAGAAACCACTATTCTCAGATACTCCTTCAGTGCAAAACCAAAACAATTTGTTTTAGTTCTACCTTTAGGGTGAGGTGTTTACAATACTTTTTGGTCTGTAAGTGATCAAGTTGTCTGTGATGGCAAGTGCCAGGGCCAGGTGAGGGGCGGGCCTGCCCCTCTGCCACAGCAGGTCCCTGTGCACAGAACTCAGGTTCACGGGAGGATGGGAGGATGAAAGCACCCATCCCCCTCTAGCTGCTGGCACAGCAGAAGCAGAGCCTCAGGAGGCATTTATGAGATCTCAGAGCCGTTTCTGCTGTAGCATCCTCTTCCCCAACTGTGTTTGCTTTGTCCTTCAAATATCTCTCTTTGAAAAAAATGTATTGATTGATTTTAGAGAGAAAGAGAAAGAGAGGGAGAGAAAGGGAGAGGTAGAGGGGGAGAGAGACATTGGTTTGTTGTTCCACCTATTTGTGCATTTATAGTTGCTTCTTCTGTGCTCCGTGACTGGAGATGGAACCCGCAACCTTGCTTTAGCGGGATGATACTCTAACCAACTGAGCACCTGACCAGGGCCCTTCAAATCTCTCTTGTCAAAGCTGCTCTGGCTCATATGTACCCCACTTATTTTGTTATGATGATTTATAACTTTATTCTAAATCCTCCAGCCATACTTATAATTAATTACATAGTTCATTTCCGTAACATTTTGTAACATACTCTCCTACCCCCACCCCACATCCTGTGGAAGTATATTAAAACAATGAAATAATTCTGGCTGAAATGCGCTGGTATCCTAGTTAGAACATTTGGTTCCAACTATCACAGAATAACCAAATGTATGATTAAATTGACAAGAATATATCTATCTAAGTGCTTTTAAAAACTATTTGTGCTCGTTTTGAATGGTGCCACATAATCTGGATATAATCAAATATGCAAAAATACTTGTTGAAAGCAAAAGCCTCTCATTCTTTATACTCACATAGAGGTATAGAGGATGATTAGGAATGACCGTATCTCTGTATGTGCAGATGTGTGTCCATGTATCTCTACATAAGCGATAAACAGAAATAGAAAATGTGATTGTGAAGAGATTATTAACCAACATGAAAAAGTGGAGTGTTCTGAGAAGAAATTAAATCCTCAAAATGCTTCCCTAATAAAACCATCTCTATCCTACCATCCTAAATATTCTAATGTAAAAGACAGAAAACATAAGATTTGAAATGATGCTGAATATCAACATTTAGTGAAAGCAGAGGAGAAGGCTCAGCCTGAAAGAGTATCCAAAAAAGACTTACATAATTAAAGCCAAATGTCTAATCTCTTCCAGGCTCCCTCACCCCCCACCCCTCTGAAATCTGTCAGTTTGTTCTATGGATGCATGCCTCTGGTTTTGTCAGTGTATTTTGTTCTAATTAGCTTCTGCATATGAGTGAGCCAAAGAACATATATGTATGTATGAATGGCCCATGGGCACAGAAAATAGGTGAAGCCGGGGGGAGGGGGCGGGGCAAAGTAGGGAAAAACGAGGGACATCTGTAATCATGTCAATAATTTTTTTAATAGCCAAATATCTACATGTGAAAGTGTTTGGCACATTAAAAGAAGAGTGGCCAAAGAGAAAGTTGGCCCATCCTTACCGCTGACGTGATGCACATTTCAAATCGATGGGAAATGAGGCTCGATAATTCTAGGGATCATTAAAGAAAAGATCAGAATTTCCCAGAATTCTAGAAAAAGATGATAAACATGCAGACTCATATTTGGATCCATGAGTTTGGGATCCACACCCTCTGCCAAGATCAGAGGGCTAAACAGACAACGTATTTAACAAGTGAATCTGTATGGGTTGGCCCCCTCCCTGCATTAGGGGAAGGTGTCACGGGCAAGTGCATGGCTGCTCCTCAGAGCAGCCAAGGGTTTCATAGGTACTCAGTGCATCGGTTTAATGGCTCAGTAAAAAAAAAAAAACAACACCCCCCTTTTATAACATTTTTCATTGTTAGGGCTTATTTACATGAAGAAACCAATACACTGAGATCTGGGGGAAATGAGGCGGACTTCACAAGAAATGAAGCTAATAAGAATATGGGTGGGGTAAAGGAAAAATAAAATGATAGGATAAAACTAAGAGATGGTAAACAGGCAGCATTCTTAACTAGCTGCTTAACTCCATGTCCAGCTAAGCAATATGAAAATAGAAAATCTAATATAAAGAATGAGATAATATGAAAAACAACGGGAGCTATCCAGATATACTTTGCAAATCCTTCCTATTGATAATAATAGTTTTTAGGCAGAAAGTATAAAATAGGAAATTACTAGACACTGTACCATGAAAGTGAAAACTTTGGGGTTTTATTCCCCCATTAAATATCTACCAAAGGGCCAAAGCCAACATTTGGAGTTCTGTTACTATTTGTCAAAGCAATTTTCATTGCAGAATCTACAGGAGATGAAACGTTACGGGATTAGAGAGCAACAAGCCTCTTTTAAGCGTTTTTGCCCATGTGCTGACTGTCTGTGACTAAATCATTGCTATATTTCACCTCGTTTTCAGTTACTTGAACAAATATTAGCACGTCTGAGTTAATACTAGTGGCATTCGACATCGTAGGAAGGACCCGATATAATCGGTGGAATTAAGCCATGCCTCTTCTAATTTCCCTTTGAACCAAAGAATCTTGTTTTCCAGGTAGATGGTGGAATGCGAACAAGGGTGGAACAGAGCTGGGGACAGGACTGCTGCCCGCAAGGCACGTCGCTCGTCCTGACTGGGGAAGTGCAGGAACATGTATTCGATGGCCCTAAAATGAAAACCCAGGGGCACACTTCAAAAATGCGATGTTGGTGAGCAGATGAAACAGATGCCGTCCCACTTGCAGGACCCTCTCGTGTTAGGACAAGAAACTGCAGCCGATCAAGTGTTCGCCGACCACACCTCCTGTGCGTGATTCCCTTACAGACACCTGGAACATCATCTTTGTGCCTTGGTCGTGAAATGGAGCTCGAAGAGGGAACCAGGGACACGCACGCAAACACGTACTGGAAGAGAGACTGAGCCAAATTGGTGGTAAAAACATGACCTTCCTCCGTAAGGTCAAATAGTTTTATTTTGGTTCAACACTACAATACAGTAGATATCCATTAAAAAAAGAAAACTCTATAGTGTATATAAATTATTCCTTCCATTCATCAATTCTTTGCTTTTTCCATGACAGCTTTGGTACAATATGAGTTCAGTATATAATTTTTAAATAGTTTTAGCATCACAAACTCAACACAAAGTACAAAACTAATAATCCAAAGTAGGGATAGTATCGTCTACACAGTGGTATTCAGTGGTAGGAGAAAATCTTACCTTGATGAATTCATGTCACTAGCTAAGCTATAAAGGCATACCTAGCAGACATGACAGAAATATGCACCATTTACCAGCTAATGTGTGTATTAGTCTTTGTGTTGTTTTTTGTTTTGTTTTGTTTTTTACAGGATTATCAGCAGCAATCATGTGAGTGTTGAGTGAATACTTAAGTCCTCAGCCAGTTTTTCCCACCTTGCTCCTCTTCCCTTAAAGGCCGTGGGCGATTATGTGAAGGAACCCACCGCAGCCAGAGCGCTCAGAACTTGACCTGCCACCCGGCGTCACCCACACTCGCACAGTTCGTCCTGCAGCTGGCCGACATCACGGGGACGGTACTGGAGGGGCAGTGCGGGCCGATCAGCCTAAGGTTGTTCTGAGGGGTCGGCGGTGTGACGTTACAGTAAACAGGCATTCCAGTGGCTGGGAGTGACCCTTGACCTGTCTGGTTAGGTAGCATGATTGGTTGTTGGTATGACTGCTGGGGCAGTCCTTGAGAACCTTGGGTCATTGGCACCTGTAGGAAGACACAAGAGAGAACCCTTCATGAAGAGGTTATTTTTAGGCATCCAGTGACTTACTGTGATGTCGTGAAAGATATTCAAGATTTTGGGTTCACCAATCTCAGCTCTACCTGTTATTAGCTGTTTCACACTGGGTAAGTCACTTAACCTCTCTGACTTAACACAAAATTATAAATTTACTTAAAACCTTATGAGATATTTTTGTGATTATGTGTCGCAGTGTATTTAATGTGTGGCCCAGAGATGCCAAAAGGTTGGACACCCCTGCCTAGACCATTTGCATAATGTCACCTACTTCACAGTTCCGCTGGGAAGATCGAAAGAATGATGTGCAATGCTTGGCACACATCTGGCAGGCAGTAAATGCGGGGAGGTGTTAGTTCTGAGTCTCTCTCCTCTCTCCTGCTACCGCCAGGGGCAGCAAGTACTCTGCATCTCCCACTCCGGATTGGACAGCCATGCGCCTATTCTGGGTTTATGCCAATGAAGTGGCCTGGGGCCGTGTGTAGCAAGAGGGGCTTTTGTCCCAGGCACCTGACTCGGTCTCAGTCTGCAGCTTTTGGGAACATCTAATATGGAGCTAGAGGAAGACACTGATACGTGTGTAAGGTTTGTTAGGGTGGGAGGATAGATTCTTTAGGGCCAGAAGTACCTGGTTATCTGGAGCAGCTAAATGTAAAGATTAAAGCACTTCCCTAACCCTTCATTCTGCTTCCAGGGTACTTCAGGGTGCAAGTCACGGAAGGGTATAGAACACTTTTTCAATACCCAATATGGATTTGGTCTGGAAAATGCAGTTGTTAGGCCCCATAAATGCCCTCTGAATGAATCCGAGATTCATTCTTAGATCTCGTATAACATAATTGTGGTAAAATGAATCTTATAACTGTGATAAAATGAAGTTTTTTTCAAGGGGGTATACAAAAATGAGTGGGAGTTTGTTATGAGGGTTTTCTCCTAATAAGCAAAATTTCCATAGAACACCCAAAGGTCGTCATGAACATAAGTTTAGACTAAAGACTTTTCTCGCGGTTTATATGGAACCACACTTGTCGTAATGATACTATAGTAATGATAGAGGCATGCATTTCCCATTTTCTAACTTTTCTGTTCTAACCTCGTCTCAAAGCCAACCACTGACAGTGTCTGTGCCCAGAGCTGCCCCCCGCCCAGACATGGGGATCTACTTTATAACCCACAGTTTCTAAGCGGCCGACATGCACCTGATATGAAGACATCGTTGGGTAGGAGACCATCACACTTTGCACCGGAGTTCCTGGTTGGTTGGTCATGACACCCTGACTCTGGGTAGGCTGCTGCACTCCCATGAGGCCTTGGAACCCCTGCTGACCAGACAAGACTGGCTGGTAACCTGCAAAGAAAAAACACCTTTTGAACAGGTTGTGCCAGGAGAAACACAAGTGGTATTTGGTGGGGATGAGAGCACCTGTTTACAGGCTGACTCTCGGATATCTCAGTCTCCATGTTATCCAATTGCTCATTTTGTATGACTGCATATTTTTTTTCTTTGCTTCTAATAGGGGACAAGAGGGTGGCTCCAAACGATTGACTGATATTTCCATCTTTGTGCAGATGGTTCAGTGAGCATGTTGTGGCGATGGTAAATTTTTCATGACGCAAACACAGGGGCCTCTGTTGACATCAGTTAACAGCTGTGAATTATATCTTTCTGATATGTCTTTTGCTGACACTCAGAGAATTCACAGGTTATTTTTTTAAATTAAATTCACTCGTTCTCTTATTCTCTCACCTTTCTGCACAACCTCATTTCACCCAAAAGCCACCAAACAGCCTATGGACTTCACATGCTTTTCATTTTCTGTGTCCTCATGAACAAAACGACTCACTGCCCTGACTGATTCAACATCCATTTCCTTAGACAAGAGACTGTAACTGCAAGGGAAGGATGGCATGCTTCTGTGCTATGGGACCGGGTCTGCTAACACACTTCAGTAAGTACCTACCACAGATGGTACAGAGCGCAACCTCTAAAAATGTATCTGTCTGTGTCCTTCTGCGGGGGTCATTGGTTTGGTTCCTTTTCTTTCACTGGGTCAACTTTCATTTGTTCTAGCTATTTTAATCACAACCACAAGTACTGTAAGTATTCTTTAAGTATGGCTGTGGACTATTATAAATGTCGGAAAGAAAATGATAATTTAGGTGAGATATATGGCGGCAGAGAAACAAAACCAATTCACCTCCCGCTGTCTGAAGAATAAGGCCCTTCCAGAGCCCATGTTATGAACCACACCGCATACCTGGGAGTAATTGTAGCTGTTCTCTTAACTGAGAACAGATTCACTGTTCACTGAGGGGACTCTTTAAAGTCTTAGATTTTCTTAACACAAACACTAAACTAAGTCTTACAACTAAAAAACGGAAACAAAAGGTAAAAAAAATCTCAGATCAGTATGCATTGTTAATGTGTTACCTGTATTCGGAGTGCGTGCGTGAGTTCTACCTTTATTCTGAGGATGGGGAAGAAGGATACGGTTACGGTACAGTCTTTACAGAGGACAGTATGTTACTATCCTTGGCCAGACAGAGATGTATCTTCTTCCCATCTTAGACATATTGTGGAAACACAGCTTGCAAATAGTCACTGAGTTAGGAGATGAGCTTGATTCATCGAAGGAGATGAAACAATGGGTTGTCAGTGTGGGCACTGACGGGGTGGGCTTGGGTGGGTGGAGCAAGTGTAGAATGCAGAAAGTTACCCTTGACTTTCCTAATGTGTCCCGTTGTGTTGTTACTGTTCATATCAGTCACCTTGCTTCATTTCCATAGTTTTAATGTATTGGGTTATTTTGAATTTTTATAGAGACACCACCTATGAAAAATGCAATTAAGGGTAGTGACCATCTCCCTACAAGCTACCTTGTGCCCACAGCACGTAGTTACAGCTCTCCTTTAACAAGCTCTGCAGGTCTGTGTGGGACTAATAACCTCAGCTCGAGGGTTGCATACCTGAAAATGTTTACAGTTTGTGCAATAGGGAAAAACCATCAGACTTGGGAACAAGAAATGTGACCGAGGCCACCTCATGGTCCTCACTACCTTCCTGTGCATAGGATCCCTGCTATGCAGAAGCACTTTGGAGAAATGTCTTTTAACATTAAGTGCCCCCCAAAACCCACCCATGGTTTCTATTATCTCCTATTGCCTCGATCTTCCACTCTAATTCACTTATCTCTTGGCCCTAAAAAAAGTCTGTTGCTCTTTTATTATCTTATGTTTACATTATTCCTAGCCACATCAAATTCATTGTAACAAGAATTGTTAAGTGCATAAGGAAATAACTTGGTACAGTTGTAGAAAACTCAGGACCCACAGTCTTCCTGACCATTTATTTCTATGGCAAAGGGCAGGCAGTGGGAACTTATTCTGATGTCTGTGTTCTACCTGAAGGTAGATGGTAATGGTAAATATATTTAATGAAGCCTTATTTCTGAATGAGGATTCAAAACACAGGTTGAAAATGAGACAAGTGTCATTTAAACTTTTGACTTGAATCTGGTCACGTGGTAAAAGCCCCGCTGTCCTCCGTGGGCCTTTGGCGGAATGCACGCAGCTACCTTGTGGACAAAAAGAGGACGGCAGAGGACAGAGCAGGTCCGCAGGGGCCTTGCTTCTAACTAGTATTTATGTATTTATGCTTATGAATCCTTCCATCCTTTCCCAGAGTCTGCTCAAAAATAAATCGAGGAGGCTTAGGAGAGATTGATTTACTGTTATACTGGCTCTAAATCCAAATTGGAGAGAAGATGAAATAAGTCTTATGACAGTAGAGAGGTTAAGGCATATGACAAACAAAACGTCTTGGAAGGCGGAGGAGGCACACATCCAGTGATATTCAAGGACAGAAAATTAATGAGGAGGCGGTGTGGGCTCCTCCCCATAAAGGGGCGGAGCCTGTGGGAGCGCCTTGTGCCTTCGCTGAGAACAAAGGTATGGAGGCCGCAGGTCTCCCTCTGCAGGCCTCCTCGGCCTGGTGATTTGTGAACTTTAATATTCAGTTATGCATAGCAGTGGGCCACCAGTTCTGCCTGGGGCTTCCCACCAGTAAACACACTCAAGGCAAATAAAGATTTATGTGGGGAGCCAATGACACTCTACCATTTCAAAAGGAAAACTGAAGTATAAAGAGAGCCCAATTTATATTCATGAATCCCATTCAATTACTTGATTCGCTCCCCGGGCAAGCGATTTACACCTGGAATGGTTTAATTGCAGGTACCCAATTCTGTAAATTATATTACAGAAGGTAGCTGGCAGAATGGTCCTTAAGAAAGGAAGGAGGCCCCCGTGTGGCTTGTGACTCTGAGCTCTGGTCCAGGAAGAGACAAATAGAGCCGTGACAGCCGTGACCTTAGGATGAACTGACAGTGCCTGCCCGGGCCACGACAGGCCCGAAGGCAGAGATGGTGGCGGCGCTGGTGGTAACCAGCTTATCTCCTCTATTCCAATGAGAAATGTGTTCCGGCTTGTCGATTCTCAGCTGTGAAATGATCAGTTTTTCATATTTATTGAGGATTAGCAAGAGCTGATACATCTCGGGAAACAAACAGCAACAGAACCTGCCCTGCAGGCCTGCTGTGGAGATCATGAAGACATTAGCTGTTTTTATTATTTCTTTTCCAGTCAAGGCTAATTCAATTGTCAAGTCACGTGGATCATTTATTTTCTGGAATTAAGAAGGTTAGGAGTGGACAAATGCCTCCTAGCAAATAAAAAAATGCATTCTGCTAAGAGGGAGGAGTTATCAGATTTAAAATGCCTGGATCCTATAAGTCTGAAAATCTAATAGTGTTTCTACTAAAATGCAATAGTTATTGAATATTATTTGTAGTTCAAGTATAATTCATTAATATTCTGTCACGGGATGTGAAATGATGGAGGATTATAAATTGGCAGGATTGCAACTGACATTAAACTCGTATTTGAATACTTGGTTATGGATCCAACATTTTGGAGAGGAATGAAATGACAAAGTAGTCACCTGTCCTCTCAGGTTTTCGTCTCCCTGATGGCTGCTGGCAGTTTTGGAGGCTGGAGATGGGGAAGGTATAGTTAAGAGGGCAAGGACCTACACAGAAAATGAATGGAGGCGCTAGACGGTTCTCACTGCCTCTGTACCCTCCGGAGCAGTGTGGTTTCCATGGGGTGTTTGTTAAGGGAAGCATTCTTAACAGGGTAGAATGTCCTTTCTGATGTTTACAATTAATAAACTTCTGTTAAAAAAAATCACTTGTGTCGGATGAGTCAAAATACAAATATTTCTCCGAGTTCCTCAGGAATCAGCCTGCTGTTTGATTATGAATCCAAACGTGACTGTTTGTATGTGATTTTTGTGATGGAGTGACAGTTGCTCAGCTGTGGCCCAGCCGAGGAGCGGCATGAAGAGGAACCATGCTTCTCCGGGACTGGCCTCTCTCCCTTTGCCCACTTGTAGGGTTCATGCGCCACGTTCCGATATTTGCTGGTTTTGTTTCTTGGTTTCCTATCAATCCCTCTACATATGCATCTTCTTTGAAGCCTTTCCATGATAAACGAGCTAACTAGCTCTCTTTGTGGATCATTTACTCTAATCCAAACAGCGAATTAAAGGCCTTTTCCTTATTACCACAACAGTCCTGGGAGGCAGGCACTGTTACTGAACTCCTTTCACCAAAGAGACAGCGGTGCTGCAGGGATGTCTGTCCAACCTGTGGCCCAACACAAAACTGCAAATTTACTGAAAACAGTGTGAGATTTTTTTGTGATTACATGTTGCAGTGTATTTCCTCCAGTGTGGTCCAGAGACAACAAAAACTTGGGCTCCCCTGATAAGAGAGATGCCAAAACTTGTTGAGGCCACACAACTAGGGGAAGGTAAAGCTAGAAATTAAGCTGTGGTTTTCTGACTTCAGCCCCCTTGCTTCTCCTCATTAGATGGTGGTACTATTCCTTATACATTTTCCCAACTTTCATACCCTGACATAATCCCCTTAGTGTGGCAGATACTCAATGGCTATTTACTGCATTCATTGTTTTCTCAATAGTTAAAACAACTGAGCAAAGCGAACAAGAGTCATGATCCACACCTTGTTGAACAAGATCTTCCTGGTATCAAAGGAAGAAAATCAAAGGCAAAGCATAATTGCCCTGCCAAAATCAACTCATACCACTCAATAAGTGTTAAAGTCTGTTACTCGGGTAGTGGGGCACCAGAGAGGTGGGCTGGTGGGGGGTGGGGGTCTGTCAAATGAACTCTAGTCCTCTCATACACCTCATTACTTTCTAATCAGCTGATTCTATGGTTTTCAATTAATAGGACCTTTTCAAATAAGGCTCTCCTCACAACATTTG